ACATAATTATATCGTAACACATGAAAAAAATAACAAGAAGAAATTTTTTCATGATCATATGAGTTTGCCGGATAAAATAAAATATTTTATATTTCAATAGTTCAAAGAAATAAAAATATCATGGGCTATATATTTGCGCATAAAAACCAAAATTTTTTTTAGTGCAACTTTTTTTTAAAAAAATCCTAAGTTTTTATTAGATAGATTTTTAATTTTATACAAATTCGGACTTTTATTGTTAATCGGCAGTAAATCAAATAATTTACTGATGTCGAAAACATAATTTGTTAATTTATCTCAAAATCCACATGTCCCTGCTTTGTACGTACGAAATTGTATGAAATTGAATGTCATTTTGTATTAAATTAAACGCCTTTTGTACGAAATTGATGTCAAAAGGGGTAACGGTGCTGATAATGTAATATTAAAATGCAAACTTTTGCAAATCTAAACATTTTATTAGCATTTTATTATTATACTTTGTATTGCTTATTATTGGAAAATTATTGGCAAATAATTGCATACCTCGAAATTGTCAGATTTTTGCAAAGAACCTGATAGCTTACTGATTGCCCTATTAACCTCTGAAATGTATCTGATATTGTCCCTATTTACATTAATCGATAAAATCAGTATATGATATTTTACTGATATTTATCTGACATACTTTATTTCGACCTGTATAATAATCGTGTGGATGCATTATAGAGGAAGTTTTTATAAATGGGCCAAACAATAGTGTGCACTTACAGAATAAAGAACGTGCATTTATCTATGTGGGGCTAGCCTTCCATCATGCATTTAGAGAGGTATTGCATTTAGGGGATTGCATTTAGGGGGTCTGACTGTATCTCGGGAAATGGTCAAATTTTAGTTTGTCACAAAATTTATAAGGACGGACAACAGAATTATCGCAGGAGTCTTTGCTCACATAACCATATGTCCATAACGTGATTTGATCTAATTTGATAGTCGTATCGATACACATACGTAACAGGTAGGATTTAAAAAAAATTTTTTTTATTTCACAATGGTGCATTTATACAATATATTAATATATGCATAAATAAGGATTGGAATCGGTTTAGTCGACTAAAATATTTTTATAGTAAGCTACTATGTTTAATCGACTAATTAGTTGACTAAATGCACTTTAAAAACAGATAATAATAAAATTTAAGCTAAGACGTTAATAATAACAACAAACCATTTTTTGTATAATCTTGGCTTTCGTTTCTATCATATTCTTGTCATTATATAAAAAAGAAAAAATCGGTAATAAGAACTATTTTACGTCGTATTTTATGCCGAGAGGCGGAATTTGTGTACTATCCTACTAGATGGTTTTGGTAATTATAAAATAAAAGTTGTAAGTATCACAATAATATTTAGGACAACATTTGATTTTTAACAAGGTGGATTTCTTGAAGCGCTTTAAAAAATATTTTTTTAGTAAAAGTTCCTTGTGAGATGGATAAAAACTACCAATCATGTTATTATCAGCATAAAATATTATGTGTTGACTTTTTTTTCCTCAGTACTATAGACTTTTACTTAAATGCACCTATGGTGTTTTACGCCTATGCATATATTATCTCAAAAGCTGGCTAATTAATCAATGCAAGATGACCTAAGTGAAAATGCTATACGCCCCTAAAAACCCCTTCTCAAACCCCTAACCCTAACTCTAAATACCAACATGAAAATTTTTATATTCAAAACTTTAAAAAAAAACATAATAAAACATATGATAGGTGCAAAACCACCATAGGTACGTTTATAATAAATGGTACTAGATATAAGTTTTGTTTGTTAGTAAATAAAAAATAAGCGCTCTACCAAGTTAAAATTTATGCGAAAACAAGTGTGACACAAATATGATGCTTATAAATAATTGCGCATATCGATATCTAAAATCGAAAAGTAAAATGGAAAAATCTCACAAATGAAGATTATCAAGTTCCCTGTTCTGCGAGATGGTTATAAATTGTATGCATATCTGAGTACTATAAAGAATTTAGTTTAGGAGACTCTAAAAGAATAGAAAGTATCTCCTTTCATTTATGCGACAAAAAAAATAAGGTATGATTATAGGTGCATGTTGCAAATATATGTATGTATGTATGTACGTACTTACGTACTATGTATTTAGCTATTCATATGTAAAAAGAATGTATCCACATGTATTAATTTAATTTGTGTTCCTTTGTACTCTAATCTTTCAAAAAATTGATATAATATAAATACACCCGTTTCGACTAGCTTAGATTAATATTCCCTAAACACTCATTAAATAATTCCCTCCCTAACGCCATTTTTCTGAGTGTTATTTTTTTCATACTTCCGAAAATCATATCCATTACCCTCACAAACATATAACATGTCATTACCATTATGCTCTCAAACTTACTGTAATTTCCTCCTTTGTGTATTCCTGGTTAACTTTTTAATATTGGGCTACACTGAAGGCATCCCATTATCGAATAATGATAGGCCAGAGATTATTAGGTATCAAAAGTTCTTCGCATCGAAACATGTAAGTCCCTATCCTTCACGCTTATAAAATATGATTTTTCGTGTTAATAATATTATTATTTCTTGATGACAGGATGTACCATTAGAAGAATATAATAATCAATTTAATCGTATAAATCTGCTTTCACTTGAATCTGAAGAAGAGCTTGAAGAAATAGATTGGTCTGAATTGATTTAAATCCTTACTTCACTCCGACTTAGACGTTTCTTTTGTCATCCTAACGTCTAGGCAAAAATCACTAAAATGCTAAAGTGTCTTATTAAAATATTTCATTCTATATTTCCTTTTTCCTCGAATAAGATAATAGCAAAATTTTAGCCTTGTAATATTTGTAATACATTTAAATAACGGCAACGATAAATATTTGAGAATCATGTCACACATTCTCTTGGCTAGGTTGCACCTCTTGCTAGGTTACATCTCTTGGCATTCATTTATGTAATATATTATAATACAGTATATATATATTGAAAATTTTTTGGAAAAATAATTTCCCGCTCCTTCTGTTTTTTATTTATTCTTTGTTTTCTTTTAATCTAATTAAAAACCATAGTCGAATTTGTAATATATGCGGGTGATTATGGTTCTTACTATGTGTAATTCTTTATGTATACTAAATGTTCAATAAATACGTTCTATACCAATCTAAAATATAAAAAAAATAGAAACATTTCTAAAAAATTTTTATAATGATAAATGCAAAGTTATTTACATGTTCATTTGGAAATTTTGAATTAATAGATAATAATGCATAATGCAAAAATTTTGCACGTTAAGACAACTTCATTTAATAATTGTACAACAATGTAAGGTTACGTAAATCAGATTCAGATATTGGCCCATGAAACAACTATAGTATTATAACAAATTTTTATAATTCGAATAAAACATACAACAGCTGGGAAAGCTTGAACTAGAACAAAAAAGGCTTGGCCATTAAAAATGTACAACACTGACCTGCACTAGTTCTTTTTTTTTTACAATGTTAGTGCATTATCTTACAGTATTCGTTTATATTTGCGCAACATTAATCCCCTGTTGTTTATAATATCTGCTAGGAGATTACATAAATACCAAGTGAATGCTACATACATTTGTATGTACGTACGTACGTATAATGCCGAGAAAATTCTTCGTCGAATATCATGTATGTACGTACGTACATATAATGCCGAGAAAATTCTTCGTCGAAGATCATATTTAATCTCTGCCTATGCTAAATTAAGAATTATATTTTAAGTCTGCATAAACCTGCGTATCTACTATTAATTTTTCGTAAGACTTTTTAGAGTGCCTAGAACGTTTAAAAATTTGGATTGTCATCTGCCTAAATAAATTCCAAGAAGGTGCCATCATGGATTAGTGTTAAATTTATTTATTTATCCCGGGTACAAATAGGTTATTTTATGAAAGTTACAACCTTGCAATACATTTAAGTTTCAGGTAAATCAGATTTCTATGTCATTTTCATCACGATATATATCAGATATATAAACTACGTACGTATGTACATACCAGCTTCTCCAGTATTATTATATCATTTGATTTAAATATTTGATCCGAATTGTAACTCAATCATAGAATTTTGATTTCAAAAACTACATAACATGCGTTCAAATTACAAATTAGACGAAACTAATTTACTGTAAGTTACCACAAAATTACGTAATATTATGCAAAATTACAATGGTTTTACAACCCTAGATACGAAACAAAGTACAGTAAAACCCCCCATAAGTACACCCTCCATAAGTGCACACACTCTCTATTCACTCACAAATTCTGGCCCAAATTTATATCAAACCTCTATAAATGCACTTTTCACGTTGTTATAATTTGGTCCAAGAGCGTGCACTTATAGAGGTTTTACTGTAATATGTATAGCGATAGGAAATTTATAATTAAAAAATTGCAATCTCAGATACCGTGACACCGTAGGAAAAAGAATTATTGTTATTTAATTAGTACCATAGCGATGAAACATGTTAATTCACTTTCTGATTGGTCATTGGCTTTGTGCACTGGCGCGCAAAATGACGTACGTACGTACGTTTGTATGTCGTACATGGGTTAGTATGACAAGATTTCGTCATTGAAAAATGATTGATTGTTACACTTGTATATTTATTGTCCGGAGCGAAGCGAAGGACGCTATATGTTTACGTAATGTGAAAAAATTTGTTTGTTTGTCAGTTTGTCCGGCCATATCAAGTGATATATAACCAATCACAATCCACTGATCGACAAATATATATAAACATGCTCGCAAATCTTTTTACCGAAATACCCTTCTGATGTAATAAGATGATCATCATATGATACGCTCCGGACCCATAATGCTATGCATTTTCCTAGTTAGTATACTTTAAGATACCGTATAAGCACGAATAACGCTCGTGGGATTTATTTTGAAAATCGGGTCCTTTAAAAATTAGCTGCCCGATACGATAGTACGGGGAGTAGCATTTTGCCTCGAATCGATCACAGGATATATTAGTCGTATGATGCATTGTCATGATTTATTGATTTATTAATTTTTTGGTCTATTGATTTGATTGATTTTGGTATGATTTCGTATGAGTAACGCCAAAGGAAAATGAGACATTTGTTTATAACTGATTATTCCATTTTCCCTTGGCGTCATTCATATATGAGTTTTTAGTGATGTATGACGTGTATTTAAGGGACCAAATTTTTTCCAGGTAAAGTAGGTTCTGTTTTTTTTTTGTTAACTCACTCGACCCACGTACACGATCGCGAATAAACATAAAGGTTTTAATTTTAGATGTCGAGACGATAGTCACTTTTTTCAGTTTTTTTTTAGATAGATTACGGCCTGTCGGACGACACATAATTTGGATTTTGAGATATGAGTGGCCTGTCAGGACGACAGTCACGAAAGAATTTTATTTTTATTTTTATTTTTTGTATTTGTGTAAATAGCACTCGTTTTAGTCTTGCTAGTATGTTAATCAAAGTGGAACTAAAGTTTTTTTTTCAGATAGAAATTGTCTAGTTTTTTCATCCATTATTTACGATAGACAATAGCATTAGAATATTATTATGGTCTTAGCCTATTCGATCGATACTTTCGAATTCTGAGTTGTGAGCATGTATTGCACAAAAGCGGAAGGGACAGAATATCCATAGCTGTATTTCGTAGTTTTAGTAACACCCTCAATGAGAGATAAAATAACCTGTATAGTCTCGAATTAACGCGCATCCTAATGTAGCACATAATCTGTTGTTGCGATGAATGATATACAGCCGACACGCCATATGTGCACTCTCTATAAGTGCACATCGCATGTATTTTTCCTTATAATGGTAAGACTTTCCCTATTTATTTAATAGTATATGTAGATTATTCTCCATAAATGAATACTGTATTCTATAAACGCACAACATGCATTTATCGGAAACTGTCCGTATTGAAAATCTTCTCTTAACCGAAATAACGTGCAGGTCAATTAATTAACGCGCAGATGGACGTTATTTCAGCTTATACGTAGTGCAGGATACATATAAAGAATATTAGTTAGTAATTATTTATAATTAGATATTTAAATTGCAAATCTTTATCATTAAAGTGTATAAAATGAACATATTTCGGAGATAAAATTCGAATTTGGAATTACAAATATCATATAAAATGTATTTGATAAATAAATAAGATATTATTAGGGTGTTTCAAAATTGTCATATTTCGGAGATAAAATCGAATTTGGAATTATGAATGTCAGATAAAAGGTTGTATTTGAAAACTTTATTAATATAGTTTAAACTGCAATTAGCAATAAATGCGGTTATACTATAAAAACATTTGGAATTTGATTAAAAAGTAAAATGAGCTTTTTAAATAACATTATTAATATATATATCTATGTATTACCTATTTAACTGAAATAAATGAAGCTATTAGATTTATTAATATTTATATTACACTGTATCTTAATTTCACTTTATATCCGGTTGGGTGGATATAAAAATCGCTTATTAATTATCAGGAATGATGCTAAATCGGAATTTAGGGTCTCTACTTAACAATATAAATCCTACTAAAACCCACCTATAATCTTTAATTATAAATCCTAACACTAAACCTTAATCTGAACATTAAAAAAAACCCCCTAAAAGATTTTAAAATTTCATATTAACAGTTAAAATAAGTTCAAATTTCAGCATCATCCGATTTAAGCATTATCCCCGACATTAATTAAATAAACTCAAGTTTGTGAATGTTTATCATTGCATTGTATAATAATCAAAAATAACAATATTAGTCGATTTTATAGATTCAGAAATAATCAACAACCCCTCCTTTTTAGCCTCATTCTTTCATTGTAGTCTTGGCACGGCAAAAAAATTTGGCATGCCATCATCACATGATTTTTTTGTATTAATTTAAGTGGCTAAAAATTTTTCTAAAGCTTAAAAAATATAGGTTGTATCTTTATATATTTATTTATATATTATTATAATTAATGGCATGCCTATAGCATAATGGCAGGGTTGGGAAGCCTCCATGTCTGAGTAATTTTACCAGACACCGGACATATCAATTTGTCCGGTGTCCATTGATAGTGTAAAAATTGACAGTATGTTGCTGTCCTAATTATTTGGTTTGCTTGACTCTGAACAAAGGTTTCTTATTTCTAAAAAAGGTTATGCATAATTTGATGAACTTAATTTTATTGGAAAACCCACTTGTTCGACTGACAGTCTATGGCATGCCAAGAACTTTCATGTCAAGATCCCTATAATCAATGATTATCAACTCATCATCCCATTAAAAATTCAAAGTAACGATAAGGTGAATTTTACGAAAATGGTTTAAATTAATGGATATGATTAAGAATATTTTTATAAACGTGTCATTATCTATTTAGATTAAAAGTTTGCGCTACATTATGTTTTCTATTATTCAATATTATGTAACAAGAATACAGACCTTATGAAAATTTGGTAAACGACTTTACGATTTAAAGTTAACTGGAATTTTTGTTTACGTTAGTCTGAAATTCTTTGCAAATTGAATAAATTTAAATTTTCATTTCAACTTAAGTATGTTCCAATTTATGCATAGCGTTAATAATGCATGGAAAATCATTTGACTACGCTCTCGATTATTGATATTTTAAATTACGTTGAATACAAGGAATATTGCGATACCTAGC